ACTGGATAATTTTATTTGGTTATTTTCAGACCATAATCAATATCATTTAATTTTTTGAAGAATTCCTCTGCTTGTAGCCTGTCATATGATCTTTCATGGAGAATTTTCTATTTGTTGATAAGAATGATATACCTTCTACCATAATAAGATACAAAGATTTATTTAGACTTCTCTTGGGACTATTTGGTGAAGCATGAAATTTAGCTTGCTGCTTATTTTCTGATTTTTTGTTTAAATGAGTTATCTAATTCTGATAAAAGAATTATGTCTTTTAATATTACTTTATTGAAATATATTACATGCTTATTTTCTATTAATATTTTTGTATATTTGAGTATCCTGATACAGAACGCATGCATGTATATTTATTATTTTTCTCTTAATAAGTCAGTTGTTTTATGTGTGTATAAGATTTTAGAGAAGGTCAAGTGTCCAGCCCATACAAACTATCCTCAAACATTCAATCTTCCTGTTTCAATTTCTCAAGTGCTTGGGTGCTACATCCTGCACCAATTCAGGGACGGATCTGACCTGGCAACATGAAAATTAAACACAAAACCACACAGATGCATGGCAAAACTAGAATTGAGAGGTCTGGGCTATAAGACGAAGAAAACCCAACACCCTGGAAGCTCAGTGTGAATGTTTGCAGAGTTGAATATGGAGTCAGAGTTACTGCACACAGCTGAACAAGAAGTGGGGTTACTACACACTGATTGAAAAAGGAGAATGGGTTTGTGATGTACAACTGGGCCAAGGAGAAAGGCTTAACTAACCTCTGTAAGAGCAATATGAATGGAACATTCTGCAGGCTGTAGACATTTGATGGGAGAGCTATGATTTCCAGTTTCTGCACACATGATCAACACCTACACTTAAACATCCAAGGAAGGCTTTGACTTGTCCCTAAGCCTCACCCAGGGTGAGGCTTTGGCATTGCTCCACAGGTCTGAGGTTACAGTCCTTGGTATGGTATGGTTGGCTCATGTAAACATCACACATTCAAGCAGGACATTACACATTCAGGACTTCCTCTGCATCCCACACTTTGACAAAATGCATGTACTACAATACCCAAATACACTCCATTGATTTTTCACATCTGAGGTTTTCTTGTGAGATGTAAACTGAACTCTTGTGGCCAACATAGATGGCCTTGATACACAAAAGAACACTTGAGCATTTCCCACCAGATGAGTACATTAATTGCTTATTTGAAGAATATTTAGTTGTGGACAGCTGCACTTCTTGAATTCAGCACTGTATGCTGAAGATAATTCTGTTTTATAGAGAGTTAAATTATGCAATACCTAAGAGAAGACTGAATAAAACTAGACCTAGATAGTGTGTGCTTATGCTTCCTTATTGAAAAGTTCAGTGACCTCACTGAACACTCTCTGACACTGGAAATGTTGATATTTTTTTCTAATAGTAATCTAGCAAATAACCTTAGCTCATAAAACTGAATAACATATTTCTGGAAAATACTGTTACTTTGACTCATATTTAGAGAATTGTTTTACCTGAACATTGTGATAACCTTTCATTTCTTACCTGCTTTGAATTAATGTCTAAGGAATTTAATATAGCTGTAATTTGTCAGGCTCTCTGTTGGGCTTCCATTCCCATGAGAGATCCATTGCCTTTCTTCACAGTCAGAATATGTGCATTGACAATTGAAGTCAATTTTTGTAAGAAATGTGTATTTGAAACAGTTTTCTATTCAGTCACATCTTTAAACTATATAAAGTAACTCATTTACACTTACATTAATTCTTGACATGTAGTATCAGTACAGCTTTGAATCTTGTTTTCTAGTTTTACTGTTCTCTCTAATCTTCCTTTCTCTCTCTCTCTCTCTCTCTCTCTATATATATATATATATGTATATGTATATACATACAAGCATATATAAAAATCAAATATATATATATATATATATATATGAGAGGGATTTGTATATATATATATGTATATGTTTGCTTTCATCAAAAAAATCTGTTTTTATAACACAAATTATTTTTAAATAATAGCAACACATGAAAGTAAAGATAAACAATAAAAGACAGAAAATCAGAGTATACTCCACAGTTTCACTCCATGCTCCCTTACATTTAGACTTTTTGATATTCCATTTTGTATTTTTCTATGTGTTAACATAATAATATACTCTACATTACCTTTAATTGTGATTTTAATATCTTTATACTTAAGATATAATGGTATACACACTATGTTTTTAGCAGGAGAACTTTTGAAAAATTATCTATATAGAAGTCCAATAAATTTTATACATGTGATGCTCTCTTTATCAATAATGTCTAAGAAAATGAAGAAATCCTTTTGGCATTCCTCCTAGCTTTTCTGGTGAAATTGTCTTTACCTCTCCATTTCAAAATAGGTTTCATGCATTCATCATTCTTCCACTAAGTGTTTTGGGCATCAAACTCATGTCATCATGTTTGCATGCAAGTACTTTGACCTACTAAGTCATTTTATTGGTCCTGATTATTTCTTATACTATGCAAATAACATGCAACCAAATCAATCCATTACTCCTTTAAAATACAACCAAATCATCATTTCCTATTACTGCCCAAGTTCAATACAGGTTCTAGTTATCATATTTTCAATCCTCCATCACAAGTGCTGATATCACAGGCATGCATCATGATGCTCAAATGTCCCTTCTTAGCGAGGGCTTCCTTAAGCAACCTATTTAATCTCACCTTACACACTCACTAACTCTTCTGTGTTGTGATTCCATGACTAACATTTTTCACCATCTAATCTCTCTGTCTAGAAGAAGAGAATGCAGTTCTTCTCTAGAGGAAGTATCTTGCATTCTGGGTCTCCATAAAAATGAATAACCCAGTCAGACATGATGGGACTTGCCTGAAATCCCAGCTCTCAGGAGGTCAAGTAGGAAGAGTGTGACTTTGAGGCCAGTTTGGGCTATAAAAAGAAATCTTGAAAGATAAACAGACAGACAAAGAGACAGAACAACCATTGCCAGAAATTAGCTGCTCAAAGTGAAAAATCACCAAATACACAAAGAAAAAGTTTTGTCTTGGTTTTACAAAATTTCAGGAATTATCCCTTTAAAGCCTTTCCATTTGACGTTCTCAATCACTTCTTGAACCTCTTCCATCCAAACATTCATTCCTTGGTGTTTCAAATGTCTGACTAAAATTTTCCTATTCTTTTCATATTTTGTCTCTTATTACTTGAAAACTTCTCAATTTCAAAAAAAATATTTTATCTCATAAATTCTTTATTCTTGACTTATTCTGATATTGATACTTTTTTTTTAGTTTTAGTATCTCCAACTATACATTTCTAGCACAATGTCTTATGTTTGATCTTTAAAACTCCCATCTGTCTACTCATTTCTCTATTAAAACACCAAATCTTTGTTATTTGAATCTTGCTGTGTTTTTCTGCAAGCCATTTATAAGTTCCTTTTTTCTTGTACTCTTCTACTTCTCTCTCTCTCTCTCTCTCTCTCTCTCTCTCTCTCTCTCTCTCTCTCTCTCTTCCTCTCTGACACAACATCTATATTGATCACTAAAAATCAGATTATATCAATTTATTTGGACCTTTAGATAGGGTCATGCTTTCCAGAAGATTCTGATGTTTATAGATATGCAATATAATATTGATAAAGAATTAGGTATTCCTATCCATCTTTTTATTCTGGCAGTATTTCAGTCTTTGCAGAAATTAAAAGCAGTCTGCTTGCTTCCTCTGAGCCTGTAATCATTTCCACTATTTTAGCACCAGATGGCAATTAAATTCTAGGTCTGTTACTACTTTGCTGTTGGTTTGATTTCCTCTGTTTTAGCAGTAGTCGGGCATCCAACTCAGGTGGGTTTCATATATTCTACTAAAGTACGGTCATCATGAACTGGGGCATATCTTAAAATGTTAGTACACCAAAGAGAAGCTGCAATGTGTACTTTGAAATGCATATTTAATTAATGTATGTTATTTTTAACATAGCATTTGATTAGTTTATTAAGGGCAGGAGAACCCCACTGTTCACTCATTGACTTGGGGAATCTTGAAAGAGATCCTTCCAATAAACATAATAGAGGTAAAATGTGATTTAAAATGTTATTTGTGATATTACAAGAAAATGTTATGAGTTGGGAAAATATTATAAATGGTAGAGTTACATTGGTTATAAATTTATCCCTATAATAGTTAGGATGTCACTTGAATAACTTTTAAATATAATGCATGGTAAACTATCTTTTTTATTCTTTTCATGCTCTTGACTTTATTCTCCAAATTGTAGCAATGTGTTAGCATTAAATATTTAAGAATCACCTGAAACCATATACATCTTATATGACAAAACAGATGCTTACAGTGTAACAATAGGTGACTTGATTTAAAAGTTCTTGTCAGCCCTTAATTCAGGATATAATCTCCAGAGATCAGGAGGACAGAGAGTTTAAATGGGCTTTTAAAAAGCCAAGGATAAAAGCAGAAGCACCTTCTTTCACATAAGGGTTTCTTTTGACCTTAGAAAATCATTGGAGGCAGCATAATGAAGTGTATTATGAAATGAACAACAGCTAAAAGGGCACTTATAATCCCAGGTGACCTCTTTTGTAAAGGGGATTCTATTGTCTGTTCTGTATTAATTAGATTTGCTTGCTACATAGATGTGGTATTTTTCCCTATCGATTTTATTTGCTTGACATTGGTATTCAAAATTTTCATATTCACATTTTATTTGAAGTAAGACTTTTAAAGACACATTGGTAATGGAAAGACTGTTAATGAATATATACTCTTGCAATTTTATATTTAACTAGATATTAGTTCAGTATATTCAAATATGTTATGCCTAAGTCTACACCTATTGAATGTGGCTCAGATAGAATACACTTTCTGTGATCATAAGACATCTTGTATATTAAAAATATCCCTTTGTTCCTACAGTATTCTATGTTTAGATTCCTAGAAAATACAGCCTGAAGCAAAAGAAAGTTGGTCTATTATTTATTACGAGATATAATCCCAGAAAAAAAATGAAAGGAGTACAAGAAATTAAAACCTAAAGTCAGTCCTGCCTTGGAGATGTGATGGGGCAATGGTGGTGCAGAACTTGTGGTAGTTGTCAACCAATGTCTGGTTTAGCTTGAGGCCCATGTCACAAGAGGGAGCCCATGCCCTACATGGTGTGGACGGCCAGGAACCAGAGACTGGATAGCCCAGAGACCTAGGGGAGAATCAAACACAAGTGGCATAAAAAAAATCAATGAAATGACTTCTAGTGATATTCTGCTATATTCATAGATTGGTTTCTTGTCATCACAGAGGCTTTCACTGGCAGTAGACGGGAGCTGATGCAGAGACTCACCTGCCAGACATTATGCAGAGACCAATTGAAGGTCTCCATCAGGTCTCTCCCCTTAGAGACGGGGGAGCCCCTTATAAGAGGTGGGGAAAGACTGTAGGAGTTAAAGAAGATGAAGGATACCAGGAGGACATGGCCCACTGAATCAAACAAGCGGGGCTCACATGGACTCACAGAGATTGAAACAACAAGCACCAGGCCTGCATAGTTCTGCACCAGGTTCTCTACAGATATGTTATGGATGTGAGCTTGGTTTTCTTGTTAGACATTTAACCATGGAAGCAGGTATGTCTCTGACTCTTATGCCTGTGCTTGGGACTTTCCCTCTCCTGTTTGGTTGCCTTGTCCAGCCTTGATATGAAGGCTTTTGCCTCGTCTTATTGTACCTTGTTTTGTCCTGTTTGGCTGTCATCCCTTTAAGGCCTCCTCTTTTCTGAAGAGGGATTAGAGATGAGGTAGATCTGGGAGATAAGTGGGTATCTAGGAGGAGTAGAGGGAGGGGAAACTGTGGTTAGGATGTATTGTATGAGAAGAATCTATTTTTAAATTTAATAATATGTAAACAAACCAACAAAAGACAAAGAATATAAAACAGAAAAAGAAAATATTGAAAGGCAAATACAAAGGATTTCTTTGGCTAATTGTTAAGGCAATCAAATTCTGAGACAAGTTAATCATCTCCAACTTCTTTATTAATAAACCTCGTGAAACAGTTACTTGCTGATGCATAACTGAGATCCTCAATCTTACACTGTCTTTTCTTTATTAGATTTTAGTTGTTGCAATTACCAGATGTTTATAACTTGATCATGGGCTTAAAGAAAATTGTGAAACATAAACACAGTATTTGAGCCCCATTTTATATTTATATGGATGCAAACTGATTTCTTTAATGAATGCCCCAGCCAAAGTGTATTTCTTTTTATCAAACAAAAAGAAAAACTGTATTTTTGTATCCATAATCATTTTAGTATGGGATCATTGCAAATCCCCCACAGTGTCCTTTCCTATCATCCTTGTCAGAAATATCTATCTCCAAAAAACATATTGCTAATCCAAAACATATTGAAAGTTTGAAAATTGGAATCATAGAGAGGGAGATCTGTGGTTGACTAATTTCTCTTATTTTGTATTCTCTCTTAGAAACTATGGGGCACATGGTATTCTATACTGGCTTTTCAGGGCATCAGTGTGTCCTTTAACCTAGACATAAGGATCCAAGCCAGTATAGTCAAATCCCATAACCGAGCTTCCAGTCAGTTGTGACTTCTTAAGGAAAAATGACTGAGTATTTGCTGTAATCCACCTTCCACAGAACATTGTTTATAGTGCAGTTGAAAATGTGGGTCAGATTTGCTGTTCTTACTTAGCTTAAAAAAATAGTTAAGGTGTTATATTAGGCAAAACTGTAACCAGAATATAGCATATGAAAAAATTATATTTAAAAAAAACAACAAAAATATAGTTAGAGGTAGCAAGTTGGATAAATGGGGAAAAGATAATTACCAACAAGCCTAACAGCCTGAGTTTGACTCCCAAAAACCAGAAGGTGGAAGACAGAGATGACTCCTGCAGGTTGTCATATGATGTCCACATATATGTTCCCCCTACACACACAAATAAATAAATAATAATTAGAGGCACTTAAAAAGAAAGAAAGATAAATGAAAACCATAGCTGGTCTATATACATACATTTATTTAAGAACAGCTACTTATAAATTATTTTAAATGAGAGCAATATTCAATATGACTATTTCCTTGATTCTTTTAAACTTTCTCTTCTCTTCTTTCTAGTAAAAGGGTCATTTTTTTTAGTATCTCAGACCCTCTTAGAAAGCTACAAATCTATGTATTGTCCTATGATTTCAAGGGTTTATTGTGCATCAATAATATTTGTAGTTTTATCACTGTGTATTAAAACTCAATAAATATTTATATTGTTGCTACCCAGTGTGAATAGCTGAAGAGCCGGAGATAAATTTGTTTTGATTCTGTTGTTGCTTTCACTGTTCTGCAAATGATTAATCTGATATCTAATTCTGCCTGCTGGAATCATTCCCATTCATGTGTTACATCACATCTTGGGGGAGCTAGAAATGCTGCTTTAATATGCTTGTTAAAACTGCTAGATGTCCTCAGATTTTCACTTAAATCAAGATCAAAGCCTTCCACTAGAACTGATGGAATTGATGACAGGCTGTCTGGACAGACACAAAAATGAACATTTCAGTGTCTGAGCACATTTGACTAAAAGTTGGATTCTATTCATGTAACACTTACACATCAATTAGCATCTTTAAGATTTAGTAGCAAGAAACTCTGAGGATTGATTTTACAATATCATGACTATAGATCATATATACTGTACAATTGAAGAGATAGAAGGTAAGACTCTGAAAGGTATTATCAGTAATAAATGATAAAGGCTTTTAAAGACAGTGATCTTTAATACAATTTGAGCATAATAGAATGTATTTGTGCATTGATGATCATATGGTCACCTCTTACCATATACAACTCTTGAGTTTTGAGCTATCAGACTAAAACATTGAAAACCATAATATTTAGGTTTAAATTTTAAAATAAATATATGGTCTGTATGTCAAATTGCTCTGATTGGTCAATAAATAAAACACTGATTGGCCAGTGGCCAGGCAGGAAGTGTAGACGGGACTAACAGAGAGGAGAAAAGA